ATCAAGCCTCCACTGCCCACTATAACAGCATAATATTGTCTACAGACTACAATCATCTGAAGTGCTTCCCAAGAACATCTATGTTTCCTATTATAACTGTTTGGCTGTCAACGTTGCTGTCAAAAAGTAAAATGCCCCCCTTCCCCACCCTAAATTAATCTTGCATCTCCGAGATATAATAATCAGGTATGATAATGGCAGGATTTGATGGCGGGCACATTTGTTAAATGGATCTATTAAGCTTTCTCTAGTACCTTCAAACACCAATGTAGACAAACTTCAGTGCAAAAGGTTTGTGCCCATTAGCTGCTGCACCTGTAATGGAACGCCGTAAGAATAAGAAAGCGATTTATGCAAAGCATGATCATAAGAAAAAACCGCCAAAGCTCATTCTGGCAGAAAAGAAAACGCTTCGAGATGAAGGGATTCTTGTTAAAATGTTCGTACGCCAGTAGGGATCGGTTTTCCGGCTCCGTGTCGCCCCCATCGTGAGCTGTCAGCGAGAAAATGAAACAGATTATCAGACAGGGTGTTATTGCGCGTCCCGGACGTCTAGGCGGCACGGCGGACTGTCGGCTAATCTGTCGCTTTGAAAATCAAACCGATCCCTACCAGCGCTTTTTGCGGGGAGTGATGGCGCGTCCGAGCCGTCGGGACCGCGTTTGTTCAGGGTGCGGGGCAAAGCATTCGTCACGTGGCTTGGCGCCCCCCCCGGCGATCGTCCATAAATGCGGATAAAGGTGTCACGCGCGTGTCCCGGGAATATGGAAATGTCACGCGGAGACGGATGTTTAAGACAAAGCACGCGCTTCCCTTCCTCTCCTCCCAATATCTCCACCCTGAATCGAAAGCCAATAACTTTTTTATGCTTCCATTCTGCGATCGTGACATCCCGAATTTATGGTAAATTATATATATCGTTTTTGAATGCGAGGGATAAAACAAATCTAAGCTATTTTGTATACGTGGCGTGTTTGTCCTTTACAGTGACTCCGAATGGTTTCTGCCTTTTTTTGGCTGATGAATATAGGAAGGGATTTCAGAGACAGCGTTTGTTCGGATCCATCACCTTATCGCTTCAGTGAGCTCTGCCACAATACTATTGCACAGTTTTTCTAGTGTTATTTTGAAACCATACCCTTGGTTGACAACAGCAAAGGGTTTCCTGCAGCACACCCAGGATAAAAAATAATATTTAGGGAATTAGAGTGGAATGGATTCGGCAGGGAACCAGACCTGTAGAGAGGACAAAACGGCTACGGGTGGATGGACACCAATATTACGTGATTTTAATATTTTATTAAACCAAAACGGCATCACCTGCACCGCCATCGTTGCCAAGAAAACAGATTTTCCATTTTTTTAATCCCTCGGGTATTCTGTAAATCACCTGGCAACTGGTATAATGGCGTTATATAAAATAACGCCTGACTGATGGATTGATGGGAACAGACTCACACTTACAGCAAATTGACCCCTAAAACGACCTCTAATGGAACCAAAATGGTCCCTATTTCACAAGGCATTCTCTTAGCACAGCCTGGCCACTCTTTTTGATCAGTACTAGCGTTGATTTATTTTCTGATCCGTGTGCAAAGTCCTCTGAAATCGCCCTGATACACGTGTCTTATGCCTGAAGTGTTTTCAGTGACGTCATGGTTTCAGTGGACAGGAAGGAGACAGGAATGTCATGTGACTGGTAGGTCTACATGTAGTTTTATTATGCTACGTGTTCGGTTTATGGACCGTACACATGAAAACTATTCAGTAATTGGTAACACTTAACTTGACAGGGCACAAATAATATAGTATTACTATTAATTATAAATTAATTAACCACAAAGTAAGTCTCAATTGCATACTGATCTAACGTTAATTCATCATTAATGAATCATGATTCATCTTTCATGCCAAGCAGTTACTATATTTATCTGTTCATTCTGAAAACATTTGTGAACTACTGAAGGAACAAGTAATGAATAACAAGTGAAATACTGATCTCATTTTTGTTCATAATTAATGAATCGTGAGGCATCCTTTTTCTCAAGCAGCAACTATATTTGTTCATGATTCGTGCTTCAGTAGTAACTGAGTTATTACTAAGTGCATGTGCCTCGTCAAGTAAAGTGTTATCCAGTATTTAGAATTAATCAAAATCACTACAGGAACATTGCACAGATTTAAATCTGGATGTAAAAATACATGCAGTTTGGCTGAGTATTTGGACGCGGCAAAGCTTTGCTTGTATCATGGTATTTTTTGAGATTCTGGAGGTTTTCACAGTATAGCCACGGTATATTTTCTCAAGTTCACCATTAAAGTGGCAACAGGCGTTTACAACAATAAAATAGGCCTACATTTACAATTTTTTTTTTAAAAAGGAATGTTTTTAGTAATTACTTTAAAAATAATTTGCATTGAGCTTGACAGTAGCATATAACGACGTGTTACTACATTATTAAAGTATATTCAGCTCGATAGCGATATGTTTTATTGATTATAACTGTGCACTTAGCTCAATAAGAATTGTTTCACTGATAAGGTCTCACCTGGTCTCATAACACCCGCCATCTCCTGCAGTAATCACAGCAGAGGGTATATTTCTTACGACGGCTGAAGAAATTTGGTACGTCGACCGAAATCCTCAGCAACTTTTAAAGATGTACGGTCGAGAGTAATGGCCAGCTCCGTCCCAGTGTGGCAGGGAAGCTGCTCTGCTCTGGACAGGAAGACTCTCCAGCGTGTGATAAAAGCCGCACGGTTCATCTCCGGAAGAGCTTTCCCGTCACTCCAGGACATTAATGGGTCATCAGGAGGGGTCACAGGACAGGGCACACCCAGAACATGGCTCCTCACACTTCCACCGTCAGGAAGACGATACAATCAAGGACAACATGGCTCACAAATAGCTTCTACCCGCCGGCTGTCACACTCGTGAACAATGCATCCAACTCTGCCCCCCTTACTCATCACTTTGATTGACCGTTACCTCATTTACTGCAATACGCAGAGCGCTTCACTGTTTCTTTCGCATTACTTATTACCGTTGTGTAAAAGGAGACGCTAGAGTAAGAATTTCATTGCATGGCCCGAGCATTGTGTGTTTTACATATGACAATAAACTTCTTGAACTTGAACGTACAGGTTGAAGCAGTAGCTATACATACTATAATGAGGAACGGTAATAAATGAAGAATTTGTTGTAATAAAGTTAGTGGACAGGGTATGTACGGATAACAGGGTTCAATACACGCTACACAGTGATCTATAGCACTTCTAGCAGTGAGTAATATTATATTATCTGGTGCCTATTGAAGTGTTACAGTTGTTGTTTTCAGCCATGCTACAGTATGGCGGAATGTGAGGAATTCATACCGTACAAGAAATTAAAACCAGTATATCAGATGAACTGGTGTACCGCCCAGCACTACTTTGGGGTATTACAAGTGGTTTACGTGAAAAGCATATTTCCCGTGGTGGATAATCGCTTTGAGATGTCTGTGTGTAGAGACAGAAGAGGCCGAACCCCAATCTTTGACTGCAGCTGTACTGTGGAGATATATAGTGGACTTCAGGTGTCTATGAGCGCTTTGTGGGTCATTATTTATCGTGTCTTCGTTTTGGCATCCCCTGGCGTTCACGTACTTTCACACGTTTGCCCAAGTTAACGATGCCCTTAATTACGTTTCTACGAGCAACTGGCATTTCCGGGATGCAAACAGTGTCTGCATGGCGGGAGAAGGGGTACCAGAAAAATCAGCATCCATCTGTTTTTGTTTTTCTACAACCAATAGGACGAAAGAGCGTCTCATCGCACGATAACAGACTTGCTTTGTTTTGGCGTCGGTTTCGCCAATAATGGCATCCGATCGTCGCAATTCGCTGCGGCTCGAGCATCGTTCTGAGAGACTTTTTGAAAAATCTTCGCAGACAAACAGCTGAGTCTGCGGCCTGTAATCTGTTTATTTGCATATCAAATTAGATGCTTACCGCTGAAGCTCGAGTCCGTCTGTATGACAGGACTGGCGCACCATGGTGCAATGCGTGTCGCAAATATGTTGGGTGTGACTTGAACACTCAGCCGAATGTGGCCGTGGGGGTTAGTGCCGCAGCTGAGACTAAGGATAGATTTATAGGGTAGTAATCCAAATGGCTGCCTGTCTGCGGCCCAGATGACAGAGGCTTATGGAAATTGTCTACAGTCTTGTCAATCAAACAGGCAAACCTAAGGTGAGCCAGCTCACAAAATCTGTCTGACAAGTCAAAACTTACCAATGCTTTTTCTTCTAGGAGAATGTAGTCACGATGAAAGCACTTTTACATTATAATTCACCAGAAAACAAACACAGACTTATAGAATAAATCGAGCAAGTTCTATACCATGGTGGGCAATCTTATCCAGAAAGGGCCGGTCTGTATGCAGGTTTTTGGGATAACCTTGAGGTTTGCTGTTCAAACCCAGGTGTGAGGACTCTTCAGGCAATCAGTCCTCTGATTATTAATCTAATTAGGGAGTTGCAGTGAAAACCCACAACACAACAGCCCCTTCTAGATAAGACTGCCTGCCCCAGCTGTATACCTCCCCAGCTCTGTTTTCAGCTTAAAAAATCTATCACTGTTAAATATTAATCTAAATATTAAGAGAATTATTTTGCATGGCGAGCAAAGTTTGCAACTATGGTTAAAGTGCACGAGTGATTTCTCTTCTTGATGCCATGCGGCGGATGTCACTGTCATCACCCTAGATCCTGCAAGAATGCCATGTTTTTCTTGACTCTCATCTCCCTTAACTGCTCAAATCTTCAAGCTCATGGCAAGAATAACTCTCATGCTACAAGTGCCTCTTCTTCACGGGTAAAAGCAAACGTGTTTTTGCGCTTTTCCAGCTACCGTGAGCATCAGGTATGATCTTGGATGAGATTGGAGTCAGGGTCGAGTCAATGTGGTGGTGGTGAAGATGGCGCCCCCTGCTGGGGAGAGCATTACGCTCGAACACTCACCGCAGCTCCTTAAAGGGCTCTGCCCTGACGTGTGGGGTTTCCACGGAGTTGCTGAACACTGCTCCCTCTGCACCTGGAATTAAAAGAGGGAAAGGTGGAAATTCTACTTCTTTCATTCAATAACAGACGGTGATACAAACACAAAGGAAGGATTTTCACTGCAACTATAACTCTAATGAAATAATAAGTCCACACATCACCTCAGCAGGGCTCTGAATTATAAGGAAAATAATTTAATCACTAAAAATAACTCCCCAACCCATAGTGCTAGTTTGCTAATGAATACTTTGTTACTGCAAAGAGAAAGTCGAAATGAAAATTGCATACAGGAAAGTTATAAAACACAAATTTTAACAGCAATTACCAGCTGTATTGATTGGTGGATATTCCTCTGTTTGTTTGCTGTCTAAACTTAGGATGACGATAGTAGGGCTGTGTCAGTTTAGAACAGGGCTATTCAACTCTGGAGCTCGATTCCAAATCCAGGCCTTGTTTTCCGTTGTCCCAGGTAGTTAGTTTAATAATTACTGATTCCGATTGGCCAGAGGCTTCACACCTGGCTCACCGGTAAAGGAAGGCCGGAAAATCAGCAGGGCTCGGATCTTGAGGACCGTGATTTTGCATAGCCCTGGTTTAGAAGGACACAGCAGGGGTCTTGTAGGGATTCTAAACTTCGGCCTTTTGGTGGGATTTGATCCTGAGCCCCCAAGACAGACAGACAGACAGACCAACAGACAGACCCTGCTCGTAGTCTTCAGAACGCAAAGACACTATGAACATAAAGTTGAGAGCACTTCCACAAGATGAAGATTAGTGATATATACTACACCTGGCAGAAGATAAGGCATACTGTATGTTTTATGTGGGCATCATCATCTATTAAAATACTATTACTAACTACATAAATACGACCAGAGAAACTGTCAGAGAACATAAATAGAAATATTTCCATTTATACAGCCTGACATGGAAACGCAGATGGGAGGAATATGACTCTCATTACTGAGCTCCTGCTGATCTTGCTGCCACCTGTAAGCAGGTAGAGCTCCTCTCCTGCTCCCAGACCCGGGTGTACAGGGGTTTAGATCCCATTTTTGCTGTCGTCCTGCTTTATCATGGAAGGTAATATGCAAAAAAAGTCCATTTGGGTCTGCAGTTCTGCAGGTGTCAAACCATGGCAGGCATCCATCCATCTATTGATCTGCTGACCCATCCATCTGCCTGTCTGTCCATCCATCCATCCATCCATCCATCCATCCTTTTCCATAATTGCTCATCATATCTGCTTGAAGGTATCTAAACACCATTGACGGGATACTGGTCCATCACACTTCCAGTGTTCCTAAGTTCATGTTTTTGCAAACTGCCAGTTCATAAAAGCTTTAGAAAGAATCACAGTTATGGCTGTATTATTGTAATAAATATGATAAATGAAGATTATATATTTGTTATTATTATCATTAAAAACAAAACAAAAGCAAAGGTAATCATGATAATGAGTAATAATAACGAATTGGTCTTGGGCTCCACAGTATAGGCTGGTTAATCTGGGCCACTGGGCGCTTCTGGCACAACACAAAACAAGGGCCATTAATCAAAGCGTCAGCAGCAGATTCAGATATAACCGACCGGCGATTCACTTTGTGGGCCGCGCCTTTGAAGTCCCTTAATGAGAAAATGCTGATTCAAAGGGCTTCATTGTGTCCCAACAATGGTCCGGCGTAGCTCTGAAGAGCTTGTCTCCTTCACAGTATGCGGATACATGCCTGGGAAGCTTACACCAGCGAATGGGAACTGTCACATTGAATAGGGACTCTCGTTACAGGACAAATAAACTGTTAAACAGCGGCCAGATGCTGCGTCGCTTGATGTAATACGTGTGAGTGAGAATGGTGAAGGTAATGATGTGGTGGATGATTCGAGGGGGTGTGGCTCAGCAGATTTGGATTCTGTGTCTGTGATCGGTAGGTTGTTGGGTCAAATCTCTCTGCGCAAGATTCTTAATCCCCTATTGCTCCGGGGCAGTTGTGACCCCCCCCCCAAGACTTGCTCTCATGTGTCTTGTGGAGTGCAAGATATGATAGGCAAAAAGACAATGTGAAGTATCACTATTCGATAATGACGTTTAGGTTCTGGAAGGGTGTGGGTTCAAATCCTGTTGCAAAATAGTCATATCACCATTAGGCCCACAAACGAGGCACTTAAACCCAACAGCTGCTGGATGCTGACTGACCCTGTGCTCTGACCCAAAACTTGCTCTTGCCTGTATATAAACATATGTGTCCGTCACTTACGGAGTTCAACTTTGCCACAGTGAAGAATGAAGCGTTGCTATTTGCCTGCAAAATATGGTTGGCCTTCTTTAAGCTTAAAATGCAAAAGTAACAGAAAGGTCCAGGCAGCTTTAACCGCAAAACAGTCAATTGGGGGTCTCTGCGTGCTCATAACAACAGATCAGCTGGCATCCCAAGGCGCTGTTGGGTCGATATCCTCTTGCCGGCATTTACATATCACCTCCCGCGCTTCGGACGGCTTTTGTTCCGCCTCAATTTGTACACCCCGCCCAGGCCACCCAAATAAAACCGGCCAATGTGCCCAGCTGTAAATGCACTAGCGATAAACACCTCTAAACAGCCGCAGATCAGGAGATCGATATGGCCGTTTCAGTTTTTATCTTAAGTTCTCCCATAATGTTCCCCCTCAAATCATTCCGTCGATGTGTTTCCATTAGCCTGTCCTTGCTTCCCCAACCCCCTCCCCCCACCTCCTGACCGCCCGCCCGCCCGCCATCTCCGGCTGATCAATCAGTGACTTATGAAGCATGAGGTAGGATATTTCACACACGTTCTGAAGGCTCATAAACATCCACGCAACGTCGCTCGCCGCCACCGAAGCAGAAGGCCCCTGAAATACAGAGTATGATTCTGCGCACCTCCCGTTCCGTAATAAAACACAGCCACTGCAAACACCTGTCAGCTTTCATCGTACATTTAAGCTTTACGCCCATCTGTATTAGAATATTGATCATGACGTTAAGGTCAAAGGTCAAATCACTTCAGAGTCAATCATGGTGTCATCAAAATAGCTCAAAAGATTAGCCATGTGTTTTGGTTTTTTTTTAAGGAAAGCTTTAAAGGGTCAATAATGATGCATTTTATTTATTTAAGCGCTTTTCAGGAATTGAAGGACGCTAACAATATAGAGGAACAGAGAAAAATAAATGGAAAAAAATTGTGTAATATTGTTGCATATTTACACTGCCAGCCAAAGGTTTTTACACACACAAATTTTCTACAACATTTACTAAAAATACAGTAAATAATCGTTGCTAAAAAATACATATACAGTATGTATACCATTGAAGTACCTTAATTACCAAGAAAATGTCATATATTTGATTCATCAAAGTAAACTCTTCTAGCAGTTATAACAGCAGAAAAAATTTAAGGCATTCTTTTCTACAAGGGACATTAAATACTGCTCTGTCTCATGGGATGAAACAGTTAAGTGCATTTAAAATGAAAGAACAGCCTAGAATTTGACTACGCCATCACCACACAACCAGTTAATAGGGTGTCAGACATGCACTGGTACATACTCTTTCCATGTTATACGGAAACTGGTTTTATTTGACTCGTATTTTCATTCATTTTCATGCCCACTCCCTCACCTTTCCAGTGCTTAACAAGAATAAAAATCCGCAGTTTATAAAATAAACAGAAAAGTAGTAAAAACCTGTGCTGCAAGAACATTTGACTGGTACTGCATCTCCTGTACTGCATCTCCTGTACTGCATCTCCTAGTTGTCTTGCCGATTCATGCTACTGCGACTCTCTACCCGCTACTATCTTGTGCTATCAGATCACTGCAGATCATTGAAAACGCAGCAGCACGTCTGATATTCAGTCAGCCCGAGCGTTCCCATGATGCACCTCTCCTGGTCTCTCTTCACTGGCTCCCTATTGGCGGTTGTATGGAGTTCGGGTAATTGGTCCTTGGTTATATGTAAATCATTGGACAGGCACCCATCTCCTATATGTCCCATCTCGCCCCCTTGGGTCACCAATCCAGTGCCATTGCAGCTCCCTGCACCACACGAGAAGCATCACTCCAGACGGTTCCTATATGTGGCTCCCCGAAGGTGGAATGAGCTGCCAAACCACGTCCGGTCATCAGACTCCCTCTCCACCTTCATTAAAGTCCTCAAGACCCATCTGGCCCAGGAATTCCTCTACTAACCTGATGCCTTTTTACGTTCCCTGAATGCTCTTAAGTTGCATTTACTGGCCCATGTACAGTATAGTCTTATTAGGTTCTTGCTTTGTTAAAAGATGTTGCGTCGCTCCTGCTCCAGTGATGCTGGCACTCGTACCTGGACATTCACTGGAAGCTCAGCCTAGCTGCGCTTATGCCTATTCAACTGCGCGGCAGCATAAAGGTTTACAGTGCTATTTGTCTCACTGTACTTCTCTGCCAAATATAAGTAAAAATGTATAATGTAACTGAAGAGCAAATTTCCAAAATTCACTCAGTCCACATGATACATTTTCTAGAACATTTCTGTGGGTTTTGCAAACTTGACAAAAGTTCGTTGCCTGACTACATGAGGACTGAGTGGGTTTTTTGTTCCCAACGCTACAGCATGGGATAAGGAAGCATGGCTTTCGTTCACTGGCGGGCTCCTCTGGAAAACAACGATGAAAAATGATCAGAGTGCGTTTGTGAAATGTGCTCTTCATACGGGATGCTTGGCGCCCTCTATCTTCACCGCCGGGGACTGCCCCGGGGGCAGCCTGCAGATCTTAAACTGGAGAGGGAGACAAAACCACCATAGAGACCTACCTAGGGAGCTGGGGGCTCATTGCAAAAGCAGGCTGTTCAAAGACACCTCCTCGCTCAGTCACCCCATCACAGCTATGTGACCCTGACCTGCAGGTGGACTGCGCTGCCCCCTACCTGTCAGCACTGGCCAACACATTCAATATTTATGTGAAAATATCATACACAGTATAGCAGAGTCAAGATACAAGAAGTTTTCCATACTGAAGCAGCAAAACAACATCTCTTTTTTAA